ACGGTCCCATTTATCGAAATAATTAAATTAAAAAGTTATAAAATAAGCAATATTTATCTACAACTCACCCCGTTTGAGAAGTACCAGATTAACATTTAGAAATTATTATTTAGTCATTACATTAGCAACATAACCAGTAATTATTATCAATTCCAAATTTCATTGACACATCTCGAGAACAGTTTCGGTGTTTCGGATATATCTCAAAAAAAAAACTTAAAAGGTATTTTTCCGTCTATGTTCAAATAAACAAATTTTTCATATTTTTAGTCATAAAATATACAGGTAAATAATGCAGGCTAATTTTGAGGATCCACAGGGCTGGATTAACCTAATTTGAGCTCCCCTCCCTTAAGCCGGCCCTGGGTAACTCTGATTTTAAAGTCTCAGACTTTTAATTAATGGCCTGTCAAAACCGCAAAGTAGGCTCTAATTGCTAATTCCATTTAACTTTTCAATCGAATTGTCGATCTGACTTAACTAAATTTTAAAAGGCAATGACCATGATTACACGTATTGATTTGTAAAATGTATTTTATTACATTTCGAATACCATTTGATCTGGAGCAAAGGTGTCTATATTTTAATTTCAAGTACATCCGGTGTATCTCCAATAGTAGGGGAGATATAGCCAAAAAAATATTACTAAGCATAGAAATTTAAATTTGCACTATAAGTAATAAGTTACAAATGGTGATCAGTAAAGAAAATGGTTGTTTAAAAAATCTGATTTTCTTTAAATCTTTGCCAACAATAAAAAATGAGGCAAAAAACGAAAAGACTGTCTAAGGCTTCAAGTTATCCTGAGCGACCTCTATGTTTTCGGTAAAAAATGTAATCATATTCATATTCGGCTGCCTCAAAAATACGCTTATATTAAATTCCATTGAAATATTTTTAAAACTGACGGAATTATCTAAAAAAAAAAATTTTAAGCCGATATTATTTTAAGGACACAAAATCTTACCGTGGTGACTTAATATGAATCGATTTATTTTGATTCAGGGAAGCTACTCTTGAAGTATCATATTCTTTAATTGACACAAATAACCTCTCTAATCTAAAATCTTCATAATATGAATGTAAATTGATTTAACTTTTATTTAAAAAAAACAACAACAAATGCCTAAATAAATTTTGACTCATAATCAAAGAAAATTAATATTTTTCATAGAATTTGGTGAAAATTAAAAACTGAACAATACAACCTCGAACAGCTGTGACCAATGGACTTGACTATCATTCTCAGCCATTAGCATACACCAGAAGGTAGTGGTCAAGGTTGTATATTTATTCATTGAAGTGATTCAAGATTTTCATCTTGATAGACTAACTGTCTGCACTTATGTATCGGATCATACGCAATTAGATGAGTAATAGTAATATATAGGGTAGCCCATCGAAAACGTACCGCAAGGCATTACAGGGTAGTAAAGAACTTTTCGGCAAAATCCAAAAACAGGTCAAATTTGTTTCTGAGGGGGACAACTTTTGGCTCAAAAAGCATACCAAAATCTTCAACCCCCTAAGTGGGGGTGCTATCCCCTAAATTTTTTCAAATGGGAATGGGGGTCAAGTGGGGGGTCATTAGAAAGGGCTTTTAATTCTCTATACATCGATTCTTACTTTTTGAAAATCGATTCATTATTTTAGAAAATATGCAGCTTTGAAAATACGAACAATATTTTTGACGAGAAATGCGAAAATCGATTTAATTTTACTTCAAAACTTACGGTATTAGTCAAGTAAATGCTGAAAATGTTGTCCGCCAACTTGCATACAATGATACAGGTTGTCTTCAAACCGTTGTCGAACATTCTGGAGCACTTGCGGTGTTACTTCGCGACATACATTAATGATTCGTCCTCGCAGATCTTCCAAGGTATCAGGTGGAGTGCTGTAAACTTTGCTTTTAATGTGCCCCCAGAGAAAGAAATCTAAAGGATTTAAGTCGGGTGACCGAGGGGGCCACTCAATTGCACCTCTTCGTCCTATCCAGCGTCCTGGAAACGTCTCATTTAGGTAATTGCGCACATTGAGCGAGTAATGTGGAGGAGCTCCGTCTTGCTGGAAAATCAGTTCGTGTTCATTGTAAGCAGGGTCGTCCTCTATGATATTTGTTAGAGCTGGGTCGATGACATTTTGTAGTAAATTCAAGTACATATCGCCTGTCAAATTTCCAGGAAGGAAAAAAGGACCTACAATGGAATTTCCAAAAATACCTGCCCTACATGTGTCTCATGACATGTGCCCATGAGTGTGTCTCGTGGAAAATCCTTGGATAGGTATCAGCCCAGTAACGACAATTATGGCGATTCACTAAATCATTCAAGGAGAACGTACACTCGTCCGAAAAACACACATTAAAGAGGAAATTATCGTTTATCGCTCGTCGAGTCATTATTTCGCAAAATTGCAAACGACGATCAAAATCGTCTTCATTTAGCTCTTGCACTAGCCGAATCTTATAAGGATGGAATTTGTATTTTTTTAATATTCGTTGGACACTTGTACGACTCACTCCTTTCTCAGTAACCAATTGCATTGTACTCGGCGTACTATCCATTGCCACTTGCCCTAATACCGCTATTTCCGTAGGTTCATTTAGTACCGGATTTTCAACCTGCCTCTTTTTGTTATGAACGGAGCCAGTTTCGCGAAATTTGGCCACCAATTCGCGAACAATTTTTCTAGACGCATGTTTCTCAGGATGCCGTTGGTTGAACAGTTCGGCGACCCGATTTCCGCATTCATTGTTTTTGAAAAAATGCTCAATAATTTCTACTCATTCTGGAATTGAGTACACCATAATTAATCAATTTAAAAGACTCGGCAGTATTGGTACTCTTCAACTACAAGTCACAAGACAGTTATCTAGCAATTTCTTGTGGCCTATCTAAATACGGAACAAAAAGAGGACAATTTTTTGCTCACCAAAATCAGGCTAAAGAATTCGTAAATCAGAAAAAAAAACAGCGAATTCTTTTGAAGGAATTTACCAAGCTAATACCGTTAGTTTTGAAGTAAAATTAAATCGGTTTTCGCATTTCTCGTCATAAATATTGTTCGTATTTTCAAAGCTGCATATTTTCTAAAATAATGGATCGATTTTCAAAAAGTAAGAATCGATGTATAGAGAATTAAAAGCCCTTTCTAATGACCCCCCACTTGACCCCCATTCCCATTTAAAAAAATTTGGGGGATGGCACCCCCACTTAGGGGGTTGAAGATTTTGGTATGCTTTTTGAATCAAAAATTGTTCCCCTCAGAAACAAATTTGACCTGTTTTTGGATTTTGCCGAAAAGTTCTTTACTACCCTGTAATGCCTTGCGGTACGTTTTCGATGGGCTACCCTGTATAATATATTTGATCTATAGTTCATAGTGATTGGAGCAAAAGTATATTTGTCTCGTATTTTATTTAGTGTTGTAGAGATATGGATTAAACAAAATATATACATATCGGAGGAAGGATCATGTTGCTCCTACATTATTATTTGAAAAACCTAAAATGAACTAGCAATTTTATTGTTTACTACAAAAAAAACAGACGGCTTACCATTTGCGGCCAAAAATATTTATATTTATCTTTTTTATGTACTATGCAACTCGGCTACGATTCCAGAGGTTCCCAATATCTCAATAAATTTTAACAATTTTGATTATTTAAACTATTGCCACAATCTTGAACTAAGAGGAATTTCTTTATGTAAATAAAAATTAAATTCATTTAAATTACAATAAATCTTCAAGTAAAATTTTAAATAAACTTTATTTAGCTTTTGCTATAATGTAATCAAGAATATGCTTATATTCTTATACGTAAATATAAATATTTTTTTCTTCTATCCACATCTCATTTGTTGGAGTTTATAATCAGTTATTCAAAGAAGAGTGAAATTTGGATTGACACGTGATATTTTCGGAATCGGGTAATTATAGTAATTCGTTTTTCCACTAATAGCTATGGTACGTAGTAATATTTGTAATTAATTTTTTACCACCATATCTCTTGCTCTATCGACAGCGATCGAACTATAAAAATTATACATATAAATGTATGTTTATTCTGTTTCCATTATTCTTTCACCAGTCGATGGATAATCGAAAACATTCTCCCTTCTAAAATTTTCATTCGATTTGTTACATAGACCGGCTACATTAATCAGAACATCGCCAAATTTATCTATGCAAGTCCATTCACTCTGACTTTTGACCTTGGTTTATTATTATACGCTAATACCATAGCGTAAGCAACTCCAACAAAAATACTTACATATTTCGTTTATCAGACTGTAAGATATTTGTCACCATTCATGACTATTTGAGGTAGATGTTTATTTATTTAAGTGATTTTTTAATCAGTATTTATTACCAGTATATGTTTTATGTTGCAATATTGAGACACATTTCAACATTTTTGTTATTAGAACAGTATAAAACGTACAATTAACTTTATTCACGAGAGTCCTTTAATTTGCATCCATTATTATGAGCAGTCATATCAGTGACATAATGACGGTAATTCGGAACAGTTAATTACTTGAAATGCCCCACCTCGTAGTGCAATCGGATTAGCAGACAAAGTGGTTGTCATACATGGGCACGCCAGTTCCGCGAGATTGGCGCGATACATGCAGTCATGCTGTCTCAGCCAGTTTCAGAAATAGAGAAAGAATTTTACATTACAGTAATAATGAAATAAAATATAGTTCTAATGTTATTTCACTTTAAATTTTGATAACCATAATTGTTAGACATTATTTACTACCATTGTATGAAATTTCCGTCATTTAGTTTGAAGACGTAGCTTTTACAACTTTTATTTTGATCAAAATAATTTGATCGTATTTAATGTGTTAAAACTATTTTGATCAAACAAATTTGATGGAAGTCTGACGGGCCAATGAACAATATATTAAATATTTAAATAAATATTAAAATTAATTTTTAAGATTAAGGAGTTTAATAATCCCACTAAAATATAAAATTATTTTCAGGTTTTTAGTACAAGTGGTGCCACAACACAGGTTTTAAGAACAATAGGAACAACACCAAAAATAGTTACAAGTCAGTATATATTCAATTTCGTAGTGTTGTGTATGTGATTGAAGTATAAAATACTTATTTATTTTGATTACTACTAAAAGTCTATTAGATTCAAAATTATGTTATTTATTTTTTACTTAACAATTAAAGCAAATGTCTACATCTATAAGTACATTGTAGACAATAATGTCTGACCTGGTTAATTATAAAGTAGGGTTTATTAATTTATTACTGTAAACTTTTTTAAATGTTTTTATCTAATAATTTTAGATGAGAAGCTTAATAATTAGTTTCCGATTTCACATTCTTTATAGTTAGCATAAATGATAAATGAACTTGAACTCATTTCAAAAAATTTAAAAATAAAATACCTATCTAATGTCAACAAGGGAAAATAATATCAACAATAAATAATTATTGCATACTCTTAACAATTCCATATCTATGAGCAAGTATAATGTTTTGTAACTATTAAAATGAGGGCAAATAGTAAATATGTTTTGTGAATTTAAACTTAGAGTGAATTAGGGATTTTTAAATTAACAAATAATTGAAATTAGTAAAGTAATTAATTAAATAACAAAGGTGCCGGCTATTATTCAAAACCGAGATAAATAGACGTTTTAACCTTGAAAGGATTATCTGATCTTATAAAAAGTAAATATGTACATGCAACCAGCAATGTCTCGGTAGTGTAAGTAGTACGGTAGTTGGTATGGTTACTGACTAAAAATATCTGACAGAAATGTCAAGTTTAACTGTATGTTTTTGAAGTTTATGCACGTGTTTGAGAAAGGTTTTTAGTTAGGTAAAAATACGTACACATTGCAATGCATTGTTTATTTAATTATTCTTTCTGCATTTCATGTCATACGTTTGGAAATATTTTGTAAAGAGAAGAACTGCTAGTTCTTTGGTTATTTATAAATTGATTGTTTTTATTTTGACTACAGTTAATTGAGCTTCCCTGGTTTTATTAATAAAATCGTAATTTATATTTGAAATCTAAATTTATGATTAGTTGAGTTACCCTGTTGTGTAATCTTTTCCTACTAAAATTTCAGCATTGAAGTCTAATGGATACTTTAATTCGCTTTAATTTCAAATAAAAACCAAATAATTTTTACTTGAGTAGAGTAAGATCTTACTAATTTTATTTATTATGTTATAAATGTATTTCTGTTAGTTAAATTTAACAGAGAAAAAATGATAGAAAAGATTTCTCCTTTAAAATTATTTGTATTTGTAAAATTTTAATTATAATACCTATATGATTTAGTTACTGAGCATGTATAAAATTTGTTTATCAGTTGTACTAACACCAGCAATTTTCGTTTTTAGAAACTGTTCCCATTCATGTTAGTAATATTCCCAGAGGTACAAAAACAATTAGATTAACGCCTTCACAAATGGTAATATCAGTTATAAAAACACTAAGTTCCTAAACTAATTCACTTTGTATTAATAGCAAAATATAAAATTTGTCAATCCGAATCAGAAATTACAAATTCAAACGTCTACTACGATACCTGTCATGCACCAAAGTCCCACACAAACGGTAAAGAACATTTCGAATATTTCCCCGCCAATACTCTCAAGGAAGAGGCAGGATCCTTTGGAAATGGACTATGCACCAGAATCGTAAGTTTCAAAATAATTTAATTACAAAATAAAAAATATACCTACATATTGCTGTTTGGATTGACTGAGGCCATTGCTGAAAGTTACTGATGACATTCTATTAACGGTGTACCTCAAGCTTCCATTTTGGGCCCGCTTCCCTTTGCAGTTACACAATTAATTTAGTAGAGTATGGACTTGTAATGTTCATTACTGTACGGATGACACAAAACTAACTGTTGCTTTCATTTAGAATATTGCATTTACTCGATGGATGTGATATAAATAATAATCTATGTATTTATTTACCTTTTGCTTCATTATTAGATCATTGTTTAACACTAAATTCAAACTAATTGAAAATTTGAACCTAAAGTTAAATTTGATGTAAAGTGTAGATTAAATATTTATGTCGATAACACAAGAATATATTTTGTGATTCCACCAAGAAATTGGATATTAATATGTACTCTACCTTAAGATTTTCCAGCCATGTCAGTATGTGCATAAAAAGAATATTTTGTTGTTTGTAACCAATTTATGATAGCAAAAATGTTTTGAACTTTGAAAGTAAAAAAGGAATTTTATATGATTCGTTAATATTAACACACTTCAATTTTGGTGGTGTTTACGAAACTCCTTTTTTTACTATCCATGAAACATATCCTAGTTAATAAAAAAATGACTGATAATTGGCTTAACATCTTAGAATATACATCATTTTGCACAAAAAGTGAAACATAATTTTTTTTACGTCATTCTCTCCCTCCTAATATGAAAACTTCTGATTAACCCAAAATACCCTCTTTTAATTCACATATTCGCGAGTATACTGTACTTCCTTGCCTTCCACGAATATACTATTGCACAAGTCGACCCTCTTTAAAAATTGTTACCTCCTATTTGGTATTGCCCAATATTGCAACTTTGAATGTAAATTATCTTCATTCAAAGGTAGATCGCGTTGACTAATATTTAGGAATAAACTTATAAATTAAAATCAATATCTAATTTTAATTACTTTTTGCTACATCATTACTGAAGTTTTAAATTCTAAGGCACGGTACTTTGAGTCTCGGTTAAGACTTGATTAACTTATGAAGCGATTAGACTGTGAATATACTGTTATAAAATAAATCAGTATATCTACAGTCTAATCATGTGATTACTTATCCAAGACTCAAAATACCAGCTCTAAGTCTGTTATGTTTGTGACTTTGTTAAGGTTTTTGTTTGTTTTTACGATTATTTTGATGTGAAATTTCTTGTTTTGTAGCAAAAGGTTGAGTAAAAATTCTGTTTTTTAGTAAACGTGGAAGGAAATCTGAAAAAGTGGGGAAGGGTCTGAGGCACTTTTCCATGAAGGTGTGCGAGAAGGTTAAACAGAAGGGTACAACCACTTACAATGAGGTGGCCGATGAACTAGTAGGTGAATTCACAAATTCAGCCAGCAATAACAGCTTGGCCGAACAATACGACCAGAAAAACATAAGGAGAAGGGTCTATGATGCTCTAAATGTACTAATGGCCATGAATATTATCTCTAAAGAGAAGAAGGAAATCCGATGGATAGGTCTTCCGACAAACTCACTGCAAGAATGCCATCAGTTAGAGAAAGAAATGCAAAAGAAGATCAATAGTATTAGAGAGAAAGAGAAACAATTGGACGATCTGATTTTAAACCAAATAGCATTTAAGAATCTAGCTCAAAGAAATAAAGAGGCTGAAAAATTACATGGGGTACCGCCCACTAATTCTTACATTCAGCTGCCTTTTATTGTTGTTAATACAAATAAGAAGACTGTTATTAATTGTAGTATCTCAAATGATAAGTAAGTGACATTCATTAATGTGTTCTTGTTTATTAATTTTCTTCTGTTTCAGAATGGAATATCTTTTTCAATTTAGTGACAAGTTTGAAATCAACGATGATGTAGAAATTTTGAAGTCAATTGGAATGTTGTCAGGTAAACAAATTTTATAAATTAATAAAGTTGTATTCAACTTTATTGAAAAGATAACTTAAAAAACATACAATTTTTCGTGTTTCTCGAAAAAATAGTCAAAAAGTAGTTGGAATGTTTTAGGTTCGATATTCAAGAAAAATTGAAAAGTTAAAACTACAATTTGATGTGTTGATTCGTTTAGGCGATAGAATGCATTTTGTCAATTTTTTTTTATTTTAAATAATTTTTTATTTGCGGTTTTATGTTTTTTAAAAAGATTTTTTTTCTATAACTTTCAGTTTTTCTGTTAGCCAGCCCAATGCTATGTTTTTTTGCAATATGGGTATTTTTTTTTAATTTTTGAAATAATTTTTCTTCAAATTATTTATTATACATGATTTTTATGCAAAAAATGCTTTTTAAGGAAGATATAAATAACATATAATTTCTTATAGTTCAACTGCATTTGCATTCAATATGAGATGTCAATAAATTTATTCCATTGTAAAAATGTAACATATGACAAAAACCAAAATCAATACAGCTATTACAAATCATTGTGCATATCTGAGTATGAAAAAAGTGTTATGATGTCTTTGTTGTGGATTACCAGTTCTTTCATTTTATGTTGAACTTTGAGCTTTTAACAAAAAAAAATAATATTTATAAATTTAAAAAACATGGTTCTTGAAAAATGTGCTTTAATGAGTTTATTTCATATTAAAAGAAGAATTGCGTTAAAAAATATCCTATACAGGGTGTCCGGTAAACTACAAACTTTAGGTGGCAATAGTACATAAAAGAATATGACAAAAAGTTGTAATAATTAAAATATATAAAATGCAGCCTTTATAAAATAACTTTTTAAAAAAACAAAAAAAAAATAGGAATTTTTAGGAAGTAGGTAGCTCAAGAAGTAAATAAATAAATAAATAATAAAATCGAAAGTGCGGAAGGGTGGTTTTTGATCACACTATTCAATTTTTTGCTAAAATTTTTTGCGAATATTGCAAGATTTGTACTAAAGCCATTTACTAATCAAGAATACAGTGATATGTATTTTTTTTTGTGGATTATTTAACGGAAACACAATACTTGCTTGAATTACACTTGGAACATTACCTGCAGATAACTAACCATCTAAACAATTATATACTAGGATTCCCAGACGAATGATTAAAACTGGTAGCGTCATACTCCATTACATGTTATGATAGAATCACTTCAAGACTACCTGCACAAGGTTAATGAATTTTGAGATCTTTCGAAAGAAATCAGGAAAAAAATGTGCGGCTAACGAATTGTTTAGTGGGCTTTGAAATGCCCTTACCATGTCCAAAAGGTACAACATTTAATGTCTGAAGACCTTCCCTAATGAATTCTACTAAGTAATAGTCAACCACTATCAATAAAATCTGGAATTTATTCCTTCAGTTTTACCGATAAGGCTAGCTTTATGTTTTATTAAATGCAAAAATTGCCCGTTTTTTCACAATTCGCAGAAAACTAAAGAAAATAGATAAAAATATGTTTTTGGTCTCAAATTACTCGTCGTAAAAAATTAAGATGAGCATAGCTTTTAGTATTTTGGAAATTTTAAAAAATCACTCATATTTAGGGGTTGAAAAGATGCCCAAAATGAATAATTGAATATTACCAATAAATATAAAAACTATTAACGTGAATTTTTCTATCGAATGATTCATGATACAAAGAAAGATTTATTCTCATGACTGAAATAAGCATGTTGAATTAGAAAATCCACCCGTGCTCAGGGGGTGGAATCATTCCCAAAAATAGCGAATAGAAATAATTGTAAAAATTCCAAAAAAAAAAATATATTAAGATAATTCACATGCTAATAGTTTTTATATCAATTGGTAATATTCAAATTCTTAATTTTTGGCATTTTTTCAATCTCTAAGGAGGGGTGATTTTTTAAATTTTCAAAATACTAAAAGCTATGCTCATTTCAGTTTTTTACGACAAGTAATTTGCGACCAAAAACATTTTTATGTATTTTTTTTAAATTCTCTGCAAATTGTGAGAAAACAGACGAAAATCACAGGTTTTTTATGGTCAGTCTTTGCATAATGTGCAAGTGTGGTCATGCAAAAATCCACATACTATCATTGACAGCCATAATCAACAATGTTTCTTAGTCATCAGTCAACATATGGACCATTCTTTCTATTTTGAACGATTAATGCATTGCATATTTTAACTATTTAGCAAAGTATTTACATGAGTAATGGAAAATATCCCTTTAAATTTAAGCTGCATGTGGTGGTGTCTGTTTGACGTAACACCTGCACATTTTAGTGTCGTGGCCGACAATATTTCCATATGCATATTCCTAACTGATGGATAACCACTGCCTAACTGACTAATAACTGCCTAACTGCCTACTAACTGACTTAAACCCTATTGATTTTTATCTGTGAGGATATGCAAAATATGTAGTTTATGTGATCTATATTGATACAGACTATCAGCTGACTATGCGAATTGTATGTACATTTAATTCGGTAATCAGAAATAACACTGGTCGACATGATTTGTGTGGATTCAGTACAAGTAGTCACTTCACCAAGATTTTGGCTCGCTGAAACCAAATTTTTACACATATTTGAGGTTATATAATATCGTTAGATAATTTTTTACAAAACTAAGAATAGCATCTTAAAGTACAATCCTCCCCCTTTCCAAGTGAATTTTGAATCGTCTAAACATCTTTTTTTTTCACCGAGATATGATGATTTGAAATTACCGTCTCACCAAATTATGCACTCGGATGCAACGTCCATGACAATGGATAGACAGTTATAGTAACCTACGACGATATAACCCCGACCCTTACACCTCGATTTCCTGAACCCGCGAACTGTGTTACCTGCAAAGCTAGAACCTTAGATTGCTAAACCACAGTTTCCCAACCCTCTTTGTAAATTGCAGACACGAAAAATTTACATCACATCCACCGAAAATTTACTAACAGTTGTAAAACACAAATTCGCTGTAACCTGCATGCGTTATATTTATAAATATTTTTTCACGCACTGGACAGTCTCGAGGGTTAAGGAAATTGGGGTTGAAGGGTCGGGGGTTATAGTGTCGCAGGTTACGAGGCTCAAGGGTTAAGGATATTGGGGTTTAAGGGTCGGCGGTTATACGTTAGCGCCACAGGTTACTATAACTGTCTAGCTATTGTCATGGACATTGCATCTGAGTGCATAATTTGGTAGACAGTAATTTCAAATCATCATATCTCGGTAAATTATATAACCTCAAATATGTATAAAAATTGCGTTTTTACACTTTTAGGTTAAGATATCTCAAAAACCTTAGGTGATCGAGCATTTCTGAGATCAAATTCAGTTTCAGCGAGTCAAAATCTTTGCGAAATGACTATTCATACTGAATCCACAGGAGTCATGTCGACCAGTGTAATCAATTAATTTTTCAACGGGTTAGATTTAACTTTAGAAAGAGCATGCATTTCAACATTTATCTTAATAAGATTTGTTTTGGTTTATTGTTTAGTTTTGGTTGATTAATGAAAAAATTATTGTTGAAAACTGGTATTTTTAAAAACAAACTTGAAGAAGTATACGTAAATAATAGGCAATTGAGCAAATAGTCATATTATATATTGGCCTCTTTAAGCTGACTAGTCTTTGAAAATTACATTTTAGTTCTCAAAACAAGTCATAAAAACAGCTTTTGTAATTACACGTCTTAGGTCTATAACTGTGAACCTGTGCTTTTAATAGATTTATAAAGAGTGACTGTAAAAAACCTGTGATTTTCGCCCGTTTTTTCACAATTCGCAGAGAATTTAAAAAAATACATAAAAATATGTTTTTGGTCGCAAATTACTTGTCATAAAAAACTGAAATGAGCATAGCTTTTAGTATTTTGAAAATTTTAAAAATCACCCCTACTTAGGGGTTGAAAAAATGCCAAAAATGAAGAATTTGAATATAATTGAATTGATATAAAAAAAACTATTAGCATGTGAATTATCTTAATATATTTTTTTTTTGGAATTTTTACAATTTTTTCTGACATTCTCTATTTTTGGAGATGATTCCACCCCCTGAGCGCACTTAAGGGTGGATTTTCTAATTCAACATGCTTATTTCAGTCATGAGAATAAATCTTTCTTTGTATCAAGATAGAAAAATTCACATGCTAATAGTTTTTATATTTATTGGTAATATTCTTCATTTTGGGCGTCTTTTCAACCCCTAAATAGGGGTGATTTTTGAAAATAATCAAAAAACAAGGCTATGCTCATCTTAATTTTTTACGACGGGTAATTTGGGACCAAAAACATTTTTACCTATTTTCTTTAGTTTTCTGCGAATTGTGAAAAAATGGGCGATTTTTGCGGTCACTCTTTAAGTCATATTTTTTTATGTACTGTTATCATCACTCAAAGTTTGCAACATATGTACGTAGCACCCTGTGTAATAATAAATACTTTTTTTCAGGTTTGGATACAGGAGACTGTACTTCAGAAAATTTAGAAAAAATCAAGAGCTTAATACCCAAATCTTTGTGGTCATATGTGGACAGTAAGTGTAATTTTTTGTTGTTGTCTTTATCGTACAAGAGTTCAAGAATGATGATGCCCAAAGAATTATTTTCTTACAATTTGAACTGGCACCGATCTATTTTCAGAAATCGCCACTGGACGATCTAATTCATTGGACACCATCCTGGAATCAAACGGGGCCGGTACAAGTTCGATGTCCATGTTAAACGCCGAAGAATACGTCGAGACGACGCTAGATGAAGAGAACTCCCGCCAATCGTCAAGCTGCGACCCACTCTCGCCCAACGGTGCGGAATTTTCAGATGACGAGGTCGATTCGGATTTATCGAGTGACACGGAACTGAACTAGTACTAAAAAGTGAGGTGATTTCATGAATTTATCCCATTATCTCAATATCTGTCCATGTGACTAGCAATTTAATGCCTTCTTCATGTGTTTTTTATACTGGTTTCGAAAGTGATTGATCTATATTTACTTTGGGTGATGTCTGGTGGAGAATTATCTTTTATATCGTTGTATTTTGTCACATTCTTGTAAAATCAACGATTATAAGTTTAACTTTTTTTTGGTTATGTTACAGCGTTGAAATAAACAGATACTTGAATTAAATTTTTGGCTGTGAAATCTAAATTTTGCGTTTGGGAATGTTCACTATAATTCTTTGCCATACACTAATTGCCAATGAATAAATTTAAAAGGTTTCAGGCTGGTACTTTGAGGTCTGGTTAAATACTTTTATTAGGTTTGGGTTAACAACTATGAATTAATCCACCCAGAAGGGGTGCACCGTACTAGGGGGAAAAAAATTATTTATCAACATTCTATATAAAAAATTTTGTCAAAGACAAAACAAGTATGAGACGTTACGTTTTAGTAATGACCGAAAAAAAGTTCTCATCAAATGGGATTTTTTTATATTTATAAAAAATTTAATGTGGGACCGATTTGTGAAAGTGGACTTTTGCTATCCATTAGTTTCTCAGAAAATTATTTAGTCAGTGATTTTCAATTTTTTTATTTTAATGGGATGTGGAATAAGTTAACTCTGTTTTTTCGTGAAAATTTAAGATAATTAGTAAAAAACATGTCGCTGAAAATATTGTCCATCGCTATACACTACTTTCTCTCATCTTTCCGGCAGCATTTTAATTCCGAACAAACAACACGCCCTTTGAGGCTATCTAAAAGTCGACTAATTTTTTGACATCTTCATAAAAATGGAAGTGCTGCTCAGCTATGCCATGTCCCATTGATCGGAACAAGTAATAATCGGAAGGACCAATGTCCGGTCGTCAATCATTTTCAAGTAGGTTTTCACCGGTATGCTGCAAAATCACTTTGTTCTCTCAATGTTTGGCTCAAACGCATCAATTGTAGTCGAAAGCGATCTTCCATGATGGTATGATTCTGCTGAAGCAGCTGATCCCACCAAATGCAAAGCAGAAACTTGGAACCATGGATATTCGGCTTTGCTGACGATGTTGACCCACAGCCGGGCTTGCCCCACGGTTCTCTATGCTTAAGATTATCGTAGCATTTCCATTTTTCATCGCCATTTATGATACGATACAAAAAACCTTTCCTTTTCTGATGTTGAAGCAACTGTTCACACATGCAAAGACCCCACTTAGCGTATCTCGGCGTCAACTCGTCCGGCGCCCAACGCCCTTCCTTTTTAATCATTCTTAATGCTTTCAAATATTTCGAAACAGTTGTGTGATCAACTCCTAATGATTCTACAAGTTGTAGTAGCAACTGACATGAGTCTTCATGAAGTAATGCCTCCAGTTCTTCATCTTCAATCTGTTTTGGTGCCCCAGAGCGTTTTTTATTCAACATCAAAATCATTATTTTTGAAGCATCGAAATCGAAACCAATCTCTGCATGTTGTTTGCGACAGAGCATGGTCACCATAAATAAATCTCAACAGGAATTCTATGTGCTTCAGCTGCAGATCTCTTTTGAATAAAGTAGTGCTGGAAATATTCACTACACTTTGACGAAATGACACTGAATTTCAAACTTGCATATAGCACTTTGTAGGTACCTTACCATCTTAAACTACACCGAGTTCTAGTAACGCCATCTATCAAAAAACAGTGACGACTTATTCAACATTCCTGTAATTTTGTTGATTAAATTTCGAAGTTGCAATTTCAGTTTATTTCACCACAATCACATGTAATATGAAAATTTTTTTTAATGTAAAATTAGCATTATATTTGTTTTAACACCTACATATTTGCAAAGATTATCAATTATGTTTAATTGAATCATATTTTTCCAAAAACTACTGTTCCTTTTTTCGTGTTGAGCTACTATTTTGTTGCAAACACAATTCGAATTATTTTTTTTATAAATGGTGGTTTTCTAGATGAACTCATTGATCGTGATGATTATGAATAATCGAAAAAATTACTTCAGGGATTTTTTTCTGTTAAAAATCTGACTATGTAACATTGATTTGCCATTTACTGACATTGGGCGTTTTCATTATAATTTTAAGGGTATATAGTGACGCTTATAAGCAATGTTCCCTCTAATTTTTTCACTGACTGCGTGGTAAAAAGTATATGGGAGCGACCCTTAAAATTTTCCTTTTTTTTACTGAAATTTGTATTTTCGCCATTTTTAGATGCAATTTTTTGATACAATGAAATTGAAAAAAATGGTGTACAAGCCCATTTGTGTGCAGAATACAACGGTTGCGCAACTTTTGAAAAATTAGTGCACACCCTCGCAACTTAGGGGGAACTTTGCTTATAAGTTATTTCTCTCAATTTTAAACAAAATTTCGGTAAATTATTTACAATTTTAGGCCCATAATTAGACTCGGTAATTGTCAGTTTTTTCATCTTTAGGCATTTTTCAATGCCGAAATAACTAATATAAATTTTGTGCCTGTATAAATAAATATTTTGTATTATAAATTGACGCTGATTAAGGTTACGTAGCTAAATTTTTAATAAAAAACATCCCTAAAGGGGTTTTCTTAAATAACGTTTCCAAAAAAATCTCAGTGGCCCATGGAGTTTAGAGACAGCAATCCACTTTTGCTTTGAGACTACCGCAGCATGAACGGTTCTAATGTGACAGCGAAACGTGGAATCATTTTTACGATTTAGGTCGTTTTCTGTATGTTTTACATACAGAAAAACCTAACCTGAGCTAACAGTTGCAATTTCTGCAAGAATCAAGAAAAAAGTGCGAAGCAAAGTGTATTGGTTGTCTCTAGATACTATTATGGATTAGCCACTGGATTATCGTAGTAAGATACTATACCTTCGAAAAATCATTTCAATTATGCATCTCAAAAAAAAAATGTCCTTAAAAAGCCACACTATGTATCAGTTAATTCAACATGTAAATATATATTATCCCAAAAGTATGGAAACACCAGAACTTTTACTTAAGTAAAGGGCTATACGGAAAAACGTTTCATATGTTTCAGGATTTTTTCCAGGCTATTCAATGATGACTTTGAATTTGACCTTGGCCTTGACTGAAAGTCATTTCAAGGTCAAGGAAATGTTTTCAGATGGCAACCCCTACTTTTTATCACGTCATTGGAAAGAGAGGAAAATTTTATCCGAATATGACCTTGAGATTATGGTTATTTCAAGGTAGGGTCAATCTTTGTGAGGGTAACCCGTATTTTTTATTGTGGAGTTAGAAAGAGTGGAAAATTTTGCTTCCGAATATGACTTCATGACCATTATTTTTTAGATCTCTTCAGACCACTTTTGTTATTCCGAGTTATTCTGCGGTTTCCAGGCGGTATTTATCAAAGGTCTTATTTGACCTTAAAATGACCTTGACCATGGTCTTAAGGTCTTAATGACTTTGAAATGACCTTCAAGGTCAAGGCCAAGGTCAAATTCAAGGTCATTATTGAATAGCCCAGAAGAAATCCTGAAACTTGTATGAAACGTTTTTCCATATAGCCCTTTACTTCCGAGTTATTCTGGGGTTTCCATACTTTTGGGATACCCTGTATATTTCAAATAGACATAAATTACAAATGAACATTTTCAAAAGTCAAAAAAGGTTTAAAAGTGGTCATCCTTTTAAACTTAAAATTTGATATGTCTTAGTAAGCCAAATGGGTAAATTTTTTTATTTTGTATTTAACCATCACTCAAAATACTATGGCTTGCATAAATTACTATTTTAGTAATTAAAAATTATTTGCGAATTGAAATATTCATCCAGTATCTAGTATTATGTATGCCATTGGATACGACAGAACTGAATGAATATATAAATAGTACATAATTGTTTTTGAATTACGTGTAAGGTTTTTCAATTATTTTCTTTTATCAACTGTATTGGTAGCTTTTATTATCATTATTGAGGCAGAATAAACAGTTTGAAGGCATTACAAAATAACATTAAGTTAAAGCTTTTAAAAAATATATTTTTACAGGATTTGTGTCCTAATTCTTGAAAAAAAAAAATGTGTCATTCAAGTGCAATAAATAAGGGTCAATTAATATGATTATTTAATTTGATTAAGGACCCATTTAAATTGTATAGAAAGTGTAAATAGTAAATGGGTTAAAAATGTAGTTTTGTTTTAATGGGTATTTTTTATTTTTGGTATGACTCGGAGGTTGATTTTTCTTTCTTTTTTTTATAATATATTTAAATTGGAAAAATAAAAGCCAATAGTTGTATTGCCTTTTAAGCTTTTTCTTGTAGAATATGAATAAAACTTTAATTTGATTCGAAATTTTTTCTGACAGTGGCAGCTGAGGAAAATCCAAGTAGTTACATTTTGAAAAAGAATTATGGGATGGATACATACCACTTTTAAGAGGACTCTATAGCAAATAGGCAACCGGCAATACATTTTCATAGATTTTATTACACGGTTTGTCTAAATATGAATTAATGCACAAATAACAGATTTTCCTCCATTCTAATGCAGATTTTCTATAAAATGGAGTTAGTTTGATACTCATATTACTTTTTGTTGTAAAGAAATTTGTTATTTGCCACTTTTGAACAAGCGGCATATCGTAAATTACAAATTTCTTTACACCAAAAAGTAATTTGAGTTTCAAGCTAAGTCCATTTTATAGAAAATCTTTGTAAAAATGGAGGAAAGTCTGTTATTTGAGCATTAATTCTTATTTAGACAAACTGTAATAAAAATCTATAAAAATGTATTGCTGGTTGCCTATTTGCTATAGAGCCCTCTTAAGAGATGATAGACCACATAGAAAATTTGCGTGATAAAACTTCGAACATAATTTGCAAAATAAAAAATTAAAATAGGTCTGATGACTCCGAGATTTTAAAAAGGGTTGCACATATATTTGCAAAATAGCTTTTTTCATAATGAAAACTGATATATACAAGCAGACATTTTCTTATTTCTAGTAGAATTTCTATTTTTGTAAAGTTACATCATTATAAAATTTGAAAAATGGAATATCAATAATTAAAATGTAAGTATGAGGCGTATCCACAAAGTAAAAGTACTCAATTTTTTTAAAATCAAACCAGCAGTATATTTATGAAAAATTTACATATTCAGATAGGTACATCAAACACTATTTACCAGTTTTGATTTCGTTAAAAGTCTGAAATGGCGCCTTTTCCTTTACATGAAGAAACTGGATTACGCTCATTATCACGCAGCTGGCGTGATTTGGAATAGCGGCACTCATTTTAACATGCCACTACAACAACAATTCTTAACTGACTGAGTTGAATAAGCGTGTGTTCTCTCAACACCTTGGCCTTGAATGCATTGTCACCGACTTTGTCGAAAACAAAAACCACAGAGAATCAGGTCTCAGTACTCAGTGGATAGTTAGTTATGAAAATAATATATTTTTTTCACCTGTATGTGCAACCTGTTTTAATTGTTTTTATTTAAAAAAAAAACAGTATAGGTCCTGTGCTTTATCAAAATAAGACCACTTGAATTTTCACTAGCCACCGCTGCCCTCTGATAGTTTCTTTATTTCTTTTTACAAATTTTCAAAAAATATAAAGTAGTCAATAAACCGACAAATCCAATAGCCGTATCGTTGCACACCAAGTTCATTTTTGTTTGCCCATAAAAATCTGATAATAAAAGAAACCACTATAATTTACGCATTATTGTATAATTCTCTAGTTTATTTCTTTGTGTTAATTATATCTCATTGTTTTAGATTATACGGAGCTTTTGTTAAGTTTTTGGAGAATATTTACACAGATAAAGTGATAAGAACAAGTGCTTACAAGTTGTAGATATGGTCAGATTTTTTTGTAGTGGACCAATATTTTGTTCAGTGAGGTATAATGGAAATTCCTTTCGTTCGAATTGCCTTTGTAGGAACCTGTACATATTAAAATAACAAATTTTATTGTTTAGTTCGTAAAAAGGTTATGTAATTATTTTTGTATATATTTGATGGAATTTTCCTCCTTTTTTTTGTTAAGAAGAGTTAAGATTAATATAAAACGTTTAATTTTGGATTTTTAAATTTTGTTAAATGTACGTTTAAGTGACAATTTCTAATTTTCAGCACAACTAGAAGGTTTTATTTGATGTGAACAAATTGTCCAGATTTACATAATTGTACAAAACGTTTTATTACCTGTATTATGTTCAAATTGTAACATATAGGGTTTTAAAATCTACAATTATAGATGCCATTTTCTAGAATAGTTTTTTATTATTTACAATACATAAATACATTAAAATGTAGTACAACTTACACGACAAAATTTACAAAATTACACTTTCGAACTGTGATTACGACAAAAATTAATTTTTGGTACCTATAAACAGTATTTGGTAAATTACAATAATATTGTAAACAGATGTTCTGTTAATAAAACAAATAACACATCTCAGTTTTTTTTAATATATGCTAACTCGATCCTACTGCAAGTCTTCGTCGTCGTATAAATCCTCAAAATCTAAAAACAAAGATTACAAACAATTATACCGGAGCTCCAAAATTGTAGGCAGTAAATCTCAAATAAATCAAACCACAACTTTTACATGAAAGTTGTAATGTGCTGTTCATTTCGCATAATGTACCAATATGTTCAAACTGCACATGAGCACTAGGAACATTTCATTGTTTATTTATTTCTATGCCTATTGTGGACGAAAAGAAAGACTGCATAGTTTAATTTCCTGATTAGTTTCCAACTTGTACGTTTCCTCTCATATCATATGCGTGCAAGTGGGAAAGCGTGTTATTTCCACTTTATTCCAGTGTGTTTTTAAAAATGGAATCGTGTACAAGTGTAGTAAATTTTAAAAAATCAGAGTAGTCCTAAACCAGCAAATTTAACAGAAGAACATGACAAACAATTTTTTTTTATTAAAAATGAACCTCAAATGTTTAAAGAAAATTCAACTGCAATCCAGAAGACGAAATTTCTCAGTTTTACCGGGTACTATGCATAAAATGAATAAGATTTTCTATGAGAAAAGACACTGAAGACAGTGATTAGTAATTATTTAACAATTACACAAATGGAAGTGAATGGCGGATTTTTTGATAACGGTGTTTACATGTATTTGATTCACGACCAACAGGATACTACCATCAGGATTTGAAAATTATCTTGCATCAAACTTGGTGCATGGATAATGTGCCTCACCATAGTTGACAAATAGAAAAATTGCCGACATCTGCTTGAAGAAACGGAAATCATGAAATATTGAATATAAAGACATGATAAAAGTACAATATTAGCAATTGCACCACAAAAACAAAAAGTACATTAAACGTCTAGTGGGTGAAACAGCTGAAACTGAAGGTGTTATAGTTCTTCGATTACCACCATAACACTGAGCTGAACCCCATTGAATATGGGCTGATATAAAAACGTGTGGCATGAAATAACGTAACTTAGATTAGGATATAAAAGTACTTCTGTAGAAAGTGATTAATGGGGTATGTGTGGAGACAGGGAACAAGTGCGTTATGCATACACAAAAAGATCAACAAATCTAGCGATAACGACAACAGTTATTTTATTTGTTTACAATGGTCGTTTTTAGTGTCTTATCGGTGGTGCTCTTATTTTTCAATTATTTACGTACTTTTACTAGTTTCAGTGGATTTACTGACTCGCCTTACTGTTACAACACTACGTCGGTAGACTTATTGTACTTATTCAATTAGCTAAAGCTACATAAAATCATAATAAAATAAGAAAAAGATGTATACGGGTAGTAGTAAGCCATCTTTAACATGACAGAATTACTACATACTTTAAATGAAAAAATTATCCTCAATGTTAGATTAATCTAATTTTAACCAAAATTGATATTGTTATATTTAATTATTTCTGTAAATTGATATGCCATTGAATCACATACCATCCCTGTATCTACTTATTAAAAATGAATCATTGCATACAACTTTGAGACTCTAGTACTACTATAATACTACTTCAAAGAAAAGAATCAGTAACTGAAAGAAAAATAACATTTATGTAACCTTTGCAGGATGACGAGTTTTATTACTATTGAAATAGTGGCTTCCCAAGCAACTAACTGTTTTAGTAGTTTCACTCTAACATTTACTATAAGAAACAAAAAAGTTTAATAAATTAGAACTCACCATTAAAAAATTCTGCGTGCACTGCCTTCTCATTTGCAGTTAAATCCATTAGTAAACCAGAAGAGCCACCTGCCTTTTAATAAACTGATTTATATATACATTTGCAATTTACCAAAATTTTGCTTACCTCCTCCAGATCCATGTATGGCCCTGCACCTTCAGGAAACATTTCATCTGCTACGATTGCGGGTTTCATAGCAAATTAATTTTATAAGCCTTCGAAAGAAAATTTGAGAGCAATGGCAGTAATAAATAGTTTTCAATCAATATCACCCACCTTTTTATATTTTTGTATAAAATATTTTCTTTCCACTCACCTTGACAATAGCTTTCAAAAATTGACAGTTGACAATCAAATTATTAGTGATGGGAGATTTCGAGTGAAACATCGAGTGGTACTCGATTATTGAGATCACTCGAGATATCTCGAGATGTTTACTCCCACCACTCGAGTGATTATTACTCTACGGTACTCCAAAATGTTAGTGCATACTGCAAATAGTCACTGATTGCGTAACCTTTTTTTAGAATAAAACGAAAAAGTGGTTAGGTTTTGAAGTACGTGAGCTTTTTTTTTTTAGCTACGCTTATAAGTAGTGATGGGCATAATCGACCAATTTTGATAATCGAGTTATCGGTAATCGAGTACTTCTAATAATCGAGTGATCACTCGAGATACGAGATATTGGTCGTTTTCATCCCAGCGGCGCACAAATATGTTTGTATTAGTCATATATTACTTATAAGCGTAGCTAAAAAAAAAAAAAAAGCTCACGCACTTCAAAACCTAACCACTTTTTCGTTTTATTCTAAAAAAGGTTACGCAATCAGTGACTATTTGCAGTATGCACTAACATTTTGGGGTACAACCGTAGGGTAATAATCACTCGAGTGGTGGGAGTAAACATCTCGAGAGATCTCAATAATCGAGTACCACTCGATCTCCCATCACTACTTATAAGTAATATATGACTAATACAAACATATTTGTGCGCCCGCCGCTGGGATGAAAACGACCAATATCTCGTATCTCGAGTGATCACTCGATTATTAGAAGTACTCGATTACCGATAATTCGATTATCAAAATTGGTCGATTATGCCCATCACTACAAATTATAAACAATCATAGAATAACATCGAAACAGAACAGCAAATGAACAGAAATATAGGGGGCGGTAGTGCTTCGAACACAAATCTAGATCGCGTAGTCTATTAAATATTTAGAATTGATCGAATTTCTGAGGTCCAACAGGTTTTGAACCTATTTAATGTAAATGAAGCATTTATTTGTTGTCCCCTCGGTTGTTTCTATAAGTCATTCCACAAAACAACCGTCCCATGGTCCATACCATGGTACGCGTGCCATGGCGCGAGTCGTGTGGTGTGAATACACCTTCTATATATTTTTATTAATGTAACCGCCGCGCCATTATTCCATGGCAAGAAATTGGCCTCAATGATTTGGGATCGAGGGGGATTATCCCTCTTTATCCTGCCTCATCTCGTGTAGGCCTGATGGACAGCCTTGGTAGGTGGGCCCCATATCCGTCGTCTACCCCGACCGCAAATGCGGCCGGTGTAGCTCTAGCGGCTACGTCAAACCATTTCTCCGCGTTTTGTCTTATTGTCTGTGTATTGTAAGTCTCGTACTATATCTACGCTTTGTGGGACCTCCTTTTGTCCTGGCTGGGCCCCGCCGGCAAGGGCCCTTTCTTCTGGCGCTCTTCTTGTTTCGCCGGCTCGTTTGTGTAAACCCCTGGGGTGGTGTCGTGTTAAATGTAACCGGACAGTAAAAGTAAGGTCCGTTTATATTTTAAATTATTATTAGCTTTATTATTTTTGTCACTTTCCATTTTGTTTTATAAATTGATATTTTATATCAAATGTGTAAACATTTTTAATAACGCACGACATCAATTTTAAAATTCTTGTTACGATTGGGAACTGGCGCAAGAATGTAATAATAGACTAAGAATAGACCTTATTTCCACTATTCGGTACCATGAATAAAAAAATATAGAGGCGTATTCACACGACCCGTGCCATGGCACGCGGCACGCGTACCATGCTAAGGGCCATGGGGCGGCTGTCGTGTGGACTTGTGGAATGACTAATCTCTAATGAAACATTTATTTGTAGTCCCTTAAAAATTTAAAATCAATGTGAATTTTAAAATATTTTTTGACTTAAGATGATTCGAACTAGGTTTGCCAGTATAAACAATCATGCAAATTTAGTAAATTGAAGATATTACTTTTAGATAATAACAAAACTTACTCATAATACACACACACACATATACCGAGAGATCCAGATAATGATTGGAGATTTTCTCTGTGTCTACTGCTGTCTGTTTTTTTTTTTACTATTAGATTCGATATGAACTCGCGGTCTCTGACTCTATGCAGTGACTCAGTTATTGTTCTTATAGACGTAGTCTAGATTTGTTCTAGGTTTATGATTCAGAATGTTAAAAGCGGAATAATTTTCTACTTCTTTTAAGAGCCAAAAGCCAGAGCCTAATATAAATTTTACTTATTAAAGAACAGTGGCACGAGATAATAACCATAAAAACATATAAAAAAATCCCAACTTCACAGTGTGGAAACAAAAGCTCATCAGTAAATGGTGCTGCGTTAGGGCACAGGGGAAAACAAACAGGAACACTTTAAGAACACATAAGAGTAAAATGTTCGAGCTTATATGAACACCCTGGGTGACCACCCCAACGACATCCCCCCCCCCTGCCTGCTAACCTTTTCTGTTTCAGAGACCGCCAGGATCAAGAAACGAAGACAACAACACACACACATACACCCCCCTCCATACCCTCCTTACCACTCCCTTCCCACGCTAGACAGACGAGCCGGCGAAGCAAGAAAAGCGCCAGAAGAAAGGGCCTTAGCCGGCGGGGCCCAGCCAGGACAAAAGGAGGTCCCACAAAGCGCCTACACCGGCCGCATTTGCGGTCGGGGTAGACGACGGATGGGGCCCACCTACGAAGGCTGTCCAGGCCTACACGAGATGAGGCAGGATAAAGAGGGATAATCCCCCTCGATCCCAAATCATTGAGGCCAATTTCTAGCCATGGAATAATGGCGCGGCGCGCTTATTGGAACGCAAAAAGCTAATCTGAAATGTTCTGAAGTGCTTCCAAAGTACAATTTTTGTCAATTGGAAAGCAGCTAATACTACTAATCGTATTTTTCGCGCTGTTTTTTTAAACGAGGTTCATTTGTCGTAAATTTGTAAAGTTCTGTTACCGAATGTTGTTCTGATCGGCGAATTTTAATAAAATACGTGTATTTTTACTATTCTGTTTACGAGTACGAGTCTATTTTAATAATTTCCGATAATATGATTTTTAAAACGGTTAATGTAAGTTATGAACTAATTAGAATAATCTTGTTTTTTTTCCAAGGAAAGTGAAATTACAACAAGTATTAACTTTGTCATATATTTAAAGTCAACTTAGACTAAAAATAACACACTGGTATCTAAAAAATGCTTAAAATTAAACATAAATCATAATAAAGTTTGATAAATGCATTTACGTTTTACTAAATGAGTGGACAGTAAAACGCACAATACATTTACCGATGACTAGATCCTATTTGAAAGCGTTAGGAGTTAATTTCTAATATCACAATACGTTTCAGTAGGATCCTTACGACAAATATTCAGAAGAATAATTTATCGAATCCATAATATTCGTTAGCTTTGGTAACGTGTGAGTTTTCCAACTACTCATGCAGTACATTTTTATAAATACCAGAAATAAGTTTACAACCTTTACAGATACAATAACTTTTAAGTGCACTTGTGTTAACACAATACATAATAACATTAAAAATATGTAAAAATCAGTTGAAATATTTCTTTAAGTAGGTAATATTTAATATACCTAATTAATAAAATTCTGACCTACCTAATACTGTTACAACCAGCTTATTTTTTAAAGCAAATAACGTAAAATTAAATGTTTTACCTATTAGCTATTAATAATTTTTTAACAACTATTTAGAAGTTATAATTATCTACAAGTGAGGATTATTAAGTCCAATATCATAAGTAATGATTGTGTAGTTCTAAATTAGGTACTTTGTTGAAGTATGATTTTATATGTAGTAGTAGGGAAAAATTACAAATGAAACATGAGTTGACTCCAATTTCCTCAATAAAATTTTTTTGTGTGTAAATCTGTTACTATTAAAAATTAAAATTTGTCTGTATTGAACATATAGGGCACAAAAGTTTTTTAAAAGTTCAAATTTTAGAGTACGACATATATAGAATAAAGTGTATATAGATATAATTGCGCAATGGTTATTAGTTAAAACATGACAAGTTTTTCATGGGAATGTAGTCTGCCTCTGTTCTAGTTTCTTCAAACCTAAAAGGAAAAGCTATTAGATCAGTTATTGTTGATATGGTGTAGTCAGAATGTTTGTTATTGCATTATTTTCGCTAAAACGGTATTAAAAGAGACAAAAATAAGTATATACAGACAGTATGTCCACTGTTAGAGTGGAAAAGAGGGAAATTTGATAAAAATTTTTGCTCGTCTTTAAAATGCGGTTGGCATGGAGAACTTTCATCTTGCATGTACAGGGGATTAGAAAATTAAGAAAATTTGCTTAGAATTGAAATTTATATTATAATTTCAATTTGTGTATGAATCGGCGTATTTTGATAGAAGTAAAACATTTTTATTGTTCATTTTACGAGAAAATGGCATTCTTTACTAAAATTTTTGCTTGTCTTTAAAATGCGGTTGGCATGGAGAACTGTCATCCTGCATGTGCAGGGTGATTAGAAAATCGGTAAATATAAAAATCATTAAAGAATAACATGCCTTTGTTTTAAACAATACAGAAATATATTATTAAGAAAAGTNTACTTGAAGTTTGTACTTAATATTTTCAGGGTTAAAGGTTTAATTAATTTTTTTAATCTTAGTATGCAGGACGAGGTTAGTTATTAGTCGTAGTGAATCACTTGTTCGATAGAAATAAATGTAATTAAACATATACAGTATGTTAGTGGAAAAGAGGGAAAATAGTTTTCATTTTACGAGAAAAAGGCATTCTTGATTAAAATTTTTGCTTATCTTTAAAGATATTTTAAAGACGAGCAAAAATTTTAATCAAGAATGCCTTTTCCTCGTAAAATGAACAATAAAAATTTTTTACTGTACGTTTCTATCAAAGTAGGCTGATTCACACAAATTGAAATTATAATATAAATTTTTATTCTAAGCAACTGCCCTTAATAACATATTTCTGTATTGTTAAAAACAAAGGCAGTTGATTCTTTAGCGATTTTTATATTTACCGATTTTCCGATCACATGCAAGATGAAAGTTTTCCATGCCAACCGCATTTTAAAGACAAGCAAAAATTTTTAAATGAAAAATAAAAATATTTTCTCTCTTTTCCATTGTAACGACCGTGGAACAATGTATAAGGTGCAACCTGATCAATATTCCATGTACATAGAATCACGAAATTCATGGAGATCAAAATAAGACAATTTAGCTAAACTTACCTCTATTATCCAAATTCGGTTCGTTTAGCCATTAGAGGGCACCAAAATATATTTTAGTTTCTTTTCTCTAAATAACACTAAATAATTTTGTCCAATTTAAATGGAATTTTATGCTAATATTAATGTATGCATGTCACTTCTTAACTTTGTAGCAGAAATAACTTCATACATAGAAATAGGAAACATATTAGTAAACAAATAAGCTTAATTTCTTGTGGATGAACTTATAAGTTTTTGTTTTCTCCTAATGATATGCATGGACATTTATCTAGGCTTTTATCTCTAGCGAATTCTTATATAAAAATAATGATGATCACACACATTTCGGGTTTCTCTTATTCTGCAAATTGTGACTATCAAATTCGAATGTCTCTGTAATCGTCTTCCTTGAAAAACAAACATTATATTAGATTAATTTTATGAGAAACTACTGTTCATACTTTTCAGAATAAGGATTATCTAGACGAGTGCAAATAATATTTTTCTTTTAACCAAATTGAATTTTATTATCAAATAAATCCAATTTTTGACAATAATATAATTAATTATTAAAAAAATGTTAGAAACATAAACAATTTGCTAGAGATTATAAACTGGAAAAAATCTCTATATTTAGAATAAAATGAAAAATGCAACTGTCTATAAAATAATATGACCCTATTTGTTTGATATAGGATACTTTTTTGAATTTTTGTAAATACAATTATTGCTTCTGTTCCCACATTAAAAAGTGACATCTGTGAAGCACTTACAGTTGTTCAGAAAAAACTTGTTTGATACCCTCTAATGGTTAAATGAAACAACTTTGGGTTAATTTAATTTAATTTGACCTCAAGCGATGAAAAAAAAATTACTTCAGAATGGTTCAAATATGTTGTAAATAGAGATTTTACTTTTTTTTTAATAAAAAAGGGAAGAAGTACATTTTTGTACTACTGCACTACATTGTCCATACTGTTTAAATGTTGACATCAAGTGTAAATATTTTTTAATACATTTTTCCAATAAAAACATTTCTATTAATTTTTACTCCTCTGATTAACAAATAAATGCAGCCTAATAAATATATTAGTCAATTTTTTAGAAGAAAATGGCTTTATTTTATTCAGCAACCATTAAGCACTTATATTTTTCAAGAAATATGAGGATTTATTGGCCAAATCCTGAAGTTTTCATCTATTTTGATAAAATTTAAATTTCCATAATAAGTATTGAAATAAAATTAATATAAAAAACTGAAGAGTCCGTTTTTGATTTATCATTTCCTTTATAGTGGTGGTTTTTTATTTTTAGCATGAGTTCCTTAGACATATTTTAATGAGAATACTTCTTTATCAGTAGATATTATTAATAGAGTTAATATTAACTTCCATAACAAAATTTTCAATGATTTGTCCTAATATTTGCTTTTGTTTAATGTTTATAATACTAAAGCAATAAGCTAAAAGTTCCACATTTCTCGAAAAATGTATCTTAGTATAGCTGATTAAAAATGTTTCATTTTTTCCTAAACTAAAAATCTTCTCTTAACCGCTATTCAGACAAGCAAAATTAATTTTTTTTTTTTTTCATAAAAATATTCCCTCTTTGGTGTAAATTTTAGTAAATATAGGGCTTATATCTTCACAAAAGTTTTAAAATCTACTCGGACAACTTGTACATATGAGGGTTGCCTTTTATATTTCGGGAATAGAGAACAAAAAAAGAAATTAATAATCGTATATGGTTTTATTGTTTTACAAAATATTCTCCATTAGATTAATACAATTTTGCATGTGTTTGAACCTATTTTCAAATAACTTTTCCATTTTGATTGAGGTACCCCCAAAACATGCATTTTGAATGCATCAACTGCTACTTCAGGCGTCGAAAAACGTTGATCTCATAATTCATTTTGATGTGCAGGAATAAAAGTCATTTAAGTGCCAAATCAGGGCTGTATGGTGGATGACTTATCAATTCGACTATTTCATTTCTCAAAAAATCTCTTATTCGAGTCGATTTGTGAGAGCTCGTATTGTCCTGGTTGTAAATGGTGCGTCTTCAGTGGTTGGTTTCCTTTATTTTTCCCGAAGACAATAGGCTGTGTACCATTTAAAATTGACCGTCTGACATTGCACTAACGGTACAGTTACTACATATCTGGTTTTTTTGTTGCTTAAAAGTACTTCGTGCAAGAACAATTTTTGTTGGATTTGGCCCATCTTGAAAGACCACACAATCGCTTGCTTACATTCAGGCTCATATGCATAGATTCATGATTCGTCACCTGTTGTCATGTCATAGACGTGTTTTGAAATGTAACAAAAGCGGGATGTGTGGTAGTTTGTTAGTTCTCGGAACGGATGGTCCAATTCAGAAAGTAAAATATTTCAGTCAACAATAATTATTGAAAAGTTAAGGGTTTTCAAGTAGTTTTAGCGTCGCCATAAAAGTCGTCGAGACTAGTGCCGTTTGTCACCGAGTGTAATAAATTTGCAAAGCCGTCCTTCAGAGAAGGCCCCATGAAATTTAGCAATGTTTTTGAACAAGTTCACTTTCACAGTCAGGGCCATGTTTGGGCATGTGTTAGCGACAGTTTAGTCACAGTACATTCGAAAAACGTAGGAATTCCAAGATACTTAAGTAAGTTGTTAGAATGTTGTGAGGAAAATAATAATAGATTAAAAAGCTGGTTTTTAGGCGGATTTTCCAAGCTATAAGAATAGATTATACGGAGTCACAAGAGGAAGGTGTAGGGTTACCTGTAAGCTCAGTTTCGTCTCAGAATTATCCATACAATTGTAAATTCAACCAATTAGGTACTAACATGGTACAGTAAAGCCATTTCAACCCCCAATATTCAAGGAGCCCACCAATAAGATAAGAACAGAAACTTCTGGACCCAAGAAATGGATGTGTCAAAGCGAGGTGTCGAATTCAGGAGATATCTGAAAAAAAGCCAGCTCCTCATTGGATTCCATACTGTGCAGTTTTTTTTAATTTTAGAGTCTCGGGTTAATGTAATCATGAATAGTCTTTCCAAATTTTTCCCTGAATCTCGAAACGTTGTCGCTTGTAAATGAATGTTTGTTCGAGTCGGTTGTGTTATAGTTATTTTGTTTGTTTTGTTTTTATTGTTATTGAAACCCTTCCTGGAAAGTTTTGGTATTTCTTATTTGTTCTTCCAACTTCAGTCACTATCACACAGACGAGCCGGCGAAGCAAGAAGAGCGCCAGAAGAAAGGGCCCTAATCGGCGGGGCCCAGCCAGGACGAAAGGAGGTCCCACAAAGCGCCTACACCGGCCGCATTTGCGGTCAGGGTAGACGACGGATGAGGCCCACCTACGAAGGCTGTCCAGGCCTATAGAAGATGAGGCGGGATAATACCTCTCGATCCCAAATCATTGAGGCCAATTTCTAGCCATGGGTGCGAGTATTATCTGAATTTATGTTGGACCCACTAATGCCCAAGTATGCCACAATCTTACGATAAGTCACATGATGAGCGTCAGTGAGCGAACCATGGACACGATTTTTCATCATCAAGTTGAATAAAAAAACAAGTCGCACTGCAATGTTCACGACTTAATTCCATTTTTTGGCCGAGAAAAATTTTTCAAGTCACTGTAAACAGCACAAATAGCGCCTGTGTGTCAAAACGTTCCGGGTAAGTATATCGACAAAATGGAATTTTTCAATACGGACGTTGGTTGTCAGTTGGCAGCACTAGGATCGTCCATTCCCGAAATATAAAAGGCAACCCTCGTAAAAGATTAAAATTCATTTAAAGTGGGTTTTTGAAGTTCCACAATTTGAAAATGATCACACCGTAGGCACATACAAAATTAAGCATTTAAAAAAGACAGTGCATATATTTTACTAGGCGTTATCCGTTACTAGTGGCAAACACTCCAATTAGCAAAACAGACAGGGAGGAAGAAAACACACATTTTATCCCACAATTTATTTTAAACATTTTTGCACATTTACACAGAAAATTACAGCTCTCACAGCCAATATATTTAATCTGTTAGACCGAATATTTCTAGCATAAAAATATTTCATATTTAACACAACTTTATCAAAACTAACAAAAAAGCATTTTAACATCTGTTAAAACCTAACTTAATACGATTATTGATTATCTTACGAAAGAACTACCCAATTTTTTCACACCTCCTAAAACGGCAAGTTTACAAAAAATATATTTGTTCCACACCACTTCTAGTTTGTTTCCAAAAAAAAAAATTTTTTTTTCTAATTCAAAATCTGCAAAATCTTAACGTTTTCTAACTGAAAAGTGCACCTCCATTATTGATAAAAAATACATATAACTCAATACTTATTACAAGTTTCATGATTTTTTTAAATTGTTAGTACTAATATTATTTTTTTATTGTTAGTTATTAATATCAGAAAATACAAGTAAATGAGCTTATAACTTTTATTTTCTTAGAAACCACCAATAAATAATTATGTTATTAAAAATATTTTGTGAAATGTAATTTTTTAATATTATCTTTTTGACCAGCCAAATATTTATTAAATTAAAACTTGAGCCATTACCAAGATCCATAATCTATTATACGTAATTATACAGGGTGATCTACAATTCCCTTTTTGCTTTTACTTTTCATTATTGAGGTGTTTGAATGGGACAAAATGTAGACATAAATGAAAAATTCTGCATAATCAGAATATGCATCCAGAAGAACAAATGAAATATTTTTTCCCCTAAATAGTTCCAGTTCCAGACAAACTATTATTTATGGGAATACGATGTATTCTGTAACTTACATATCAAACTAGTACTCTATTAGTGCAATGTGAAAAAGCAATTTAAAGCGACTCTTAAAAAATCATGAAACTTTTTAACCTGATTTCACGAAACATAAAATTACTTGTCAATAATAACCGAAAAACTAAACTCGTCTAAACTACCTACTCAGATTTTGATTCTTCACTATTACATTGTCGAAATTCGTACTAACTAAAATCTATCCAATTTGCTTAGGGGCTATTACATCAAAAGATAGTAGTAAAACTGTTCAAAAATAATGATTCTATCACCTAAACTAAATCTAAGATTTTTTTTTTATTTATATTAACCATGCATATTGCCAAATGGGCTGTGTAAATAAGCATACAGAACCGAGTTAAAATATATAGATTTAAAAAAATTATGTCCACCAGTTACTCTACTAAAAATACAAGATATACATGATTAACAGAAAGAATTCGAGACATTAATATTTTTCAAAACATCAGATTTTTACGAAAAGGTTAATAGGGAGCTGTTTTGGCAATCCGAAAGGACACTGAGGAAAATCGTACAAATTTTTTGTCAAGCGGGATAATAGGGGATGAAATTAACCAGAAACCAACAAAGGAAAATATTGTGTTTTGGGCTCCCTATATGTGAGCTTTGGAGTGTTTTTTTAAACTCACATTGATAGATAACCGCGAGCTTGGCAACGTCTTCTTCCAAAGAGGTAGGCTGCGAGCACCGCTACTACCAGCGCGGCCAGTACACATCCCACGACGATAGGGACCACGTCAGGGGTCACAGAACTTTCACAATCCAAAGCTGCAAATTTGAACATAATTTAAAACGATGGAAAAAATATGGCCTCGATCATATTTTAAAAAGTATACAGGGTGTAATTCTAAGTAGGCGTCAGATTTTTTTGGGCAATAGCAAATGTTCTGCACAACACAAATATACATTTTTTTTTCAATAAAATAAATGGTGTTATAATTCGTTTTTTAAACTAGTTAAATTCTTGTCTACACCATTACTATGCATCTCACATAGACGGGAGTATGTTGCTGTTTATCAGTGTCACCTGTTATTCTTTTAAAATCTAATGCACTGGCAGAGCCAAAATGTAATGGAAAATAATTTTGTATAAAAAGATTGCTTTTAAATGACTTTGTGACATGTAATTTTAAAGTCACTCACCATATTTTCTTGATGTAGATGAAGCACCCAATATTAAAAAAATTCTATTGTTTAAAAATGAATACTGTCAGCATAATTTATTAAATATTAACTATTTGCAACCCATTTTTATTTTAAAATCATTCTTTGCTGTCTGATAGATTTGAAAAATTTTGAAAACGATTTCAAATTTTGAATAAAAAGTATTTTTTACTATTTTTTTAAAGCATTGTATTTAGTATTTGAATCTCAATGTCACTGATCTCTAATATTAACATAGTTTAGGTAAATTACATATCCTCCTAATAGTCCTAATATATGACGACATATGCATATGAGACATGCATGAGACGACAAGAGAAACAAGAGTGACAAGAGGATGTTAAGTGGGCAAAAAAACAAATGGCCAATGTTAATTCGGTGTATTAAGAATGGTATTTGTCCATTTTCGATTCTCTGCTTCAGTTAGTTTTCAGTTTATCAGTTAGAAGTGATTGTACATTCTGTCAAAAAAGTATCCAAAATTTGTAATTTAAAAATGTTGGGAAAGACGTATGGTAATTCAGTTTTATTGAAAACTCAAACATACAGTGCATAGCATTCAAACATGGTCGAGAAGTGGTTGATGATTTGCCATGTGGTTATTCAACATTTTCAAGTGAAGAAATTACACAGCCACACAAAAAAAAAGTTGTCTGTACTTTTCATGGGATATATGTTATCCGTAGTATTTTTACCTCCTGATCATGAATCCGGTGTCAGAATTGAGCTGTCACATCACAGGAATTTACTAACCTCAAAAAACAGGTCAAAAATTGCAAAAATTCACAAAAAGATGATGGAAAAATACAAAATTTTTTTCTATATTCAAATGTTCATTTATATTATATGGTTAAGACCCCGCCGAACGTGAATCCGTGGTCATAATTGATGGTTCTTTTTCTAACCTCAAAAAAAAAAACGGGTCAGATATCAGGAATTTTTAAAAAATAACAGATTCGCGCCAAATTTGGTATACGGGAATTTTCGGAGTCGCTGATCACGGATCCGAGGTCAATTTTGCAAAATTCAAGATGGCGGATCCTAGATGGCCGACCAATTTTTCAATAAATAACATATTATTGCCAAATTTGGTATACGGGGTTTTTCAGGGTCGCTTATTATGTCAGAATTCGAGATCAGAATTGCGAAATTAATTTTGTAATATATTTGTTTACTTTATAACCTGGTACCCAATTATGTTTTAACCTTCTTTTCGGATATATCTTGTTCTTTGTTGCAAAAGATCTTTTCATGGGTTTTCTGCCTAATCTCAGGTAATAAAGTACATAGGTGATTAAATTTTTAAACACGAATTTTGTAAATGTGATCTCAGATTCGTAATCAGTGACCCCGAAAACCCCCGCATACCAAATTTGGTGCGAATCTGTTATTTTTTGAAAATTCCTGAATTAAGGTCAGTAATTGACCCGTTTTTTTTTTTGGTTAGAAAAAAAACCACCAATTATGACCGCGGATTCACGTTCGGCGGGATCTTAACCATATAAATGAACATTTGAATATAGAAAACTTTTTTTTGTATTTTTTCTAGCACTTCTTCGTGAATTTTTGCTATTTTTGACCAAATATATCTCACAAATCAGATTGCACCAATTTAGTTGATATTTTAGGTGTAACACGCACTGCAGCACGGTTGGTTGCAAAAGGGTGAATTCCCTTCAAAAAGAGCATCCCTAACATGTTACTTAAGACGTGTTTGAACAAACTAATTCGGGTTCTACATTTATGGAACACATCGTAATGGAAGATGAGACATGGGTCAGGAGTATGACATGCAAGTCGGCCAACAAGCTTCCGAATGGCACTTTTCTAATGAGCCAAAACCAAAAGAATCACCTTAAAGTCGATCAAAAATTAAAGTCATTATGAGGCATTTGAGAGTATCCACATAAAAAAAAAACAGATTTATGGAACAATTCTTGGATTTTGTTGTACCACGATAATACAGCATCACATAAAGCGATAATTGCAAATAAATTTTTGTCCAAAAACTCGATCAATGTCATTGAGCAGCTACCGCTGACTTTTTTTCTATTTCTCAAACTCAAATTACCACTTTGTTAAACACGTTTCCAGTCAATGGAAGACACAAAACAAAAATCGCTGAAGGAGTTGAAGTCCATACGGGAATATGCTTTTAAAAGGTGCTTTGACGAATGGGTTGTTCGTTGGAAAAAGTGTATTGCTTCAAATGGGGCCTATTTTGAAGGAGACAAAATAAATTTTGAGATCGATTGAATATATTCTGTTTTATGAACAGAGTGTACAATAGTAACCGAACCGATTTTCCGTGTTAAGTTTTAGTTTTTACTGTTGTGTTTTATTAAGTTTAACTTTATAGTAAAATTTAAAGTGGCATTCTGTGAAGTGTCTCCTGCAATGTAAGTGAATAAGCATATAAAGTTGTTTATTTCAGTGTTTAGCGGTACTAAGAATAATGGCTGGCTCCCCTCAAACATTTTTCTAGCGCAACTAACTGTAATGCTGTAGATTTCTTTTTTATCTGTTGCTTATTGGAGAACATGCTTCATTAGCACACTAATTAAGCTCATTATACAAAAGGCAAAAGCAAAGTAAGATGTGGAGATGGACTTGTGGTTCTAGAAGAGAATTTTTTTTAATGTAAATTCTTACAGTAAAGTGCGCTGCTGTATGTTTACTTGACATGTATTTTCTGTTAGAGACGGTGGCCACAAAAGGACAAAAAATTGTAAACGTATAATCTGTGGATAAGTTGGTGGCCCACTGGTTTAAGGCGTCAGGACCTGAATCGATGAATGCCATTGTTGCGGGTTCAATCCCCTGGCTGTAAGAGGATAGATTAACTATATTTGTAGAGGGGAATTAGGCATCCTCCCTGCGGGTATCGTAGTGTGGAGGAACATTGGATCAATGCAAGATACTGATACTAGTAGATGTTTGATCATCCCGTAATTAATGAAATTTTCTAGGTTTCCATCACTCCCGAGTGGTAGTTAGTGTTTACCTATGTAAGTTGTTCCTAGGCGCAAATGCGTCCCACTGAATAATAATATGCCGTACCCTTTCCCACACAAGTCTCTGACTTCTGGGCTAATCAATGGGATTATAATTATTATATTCATTTTATTATTTATTAGTACTAGAAAGAGGCATAAGTGACAAAATAATGTCTTATACGTTTTGAAATATTTTGAAAATTAATTTAAACATGATTCAGTCAGCTACTTGGTTTTCAGTATTACTGTGATTTTGTTTTTAAATACATTTATTGGTTAGTTATTAACTATAAAATATCAAAATATTGCATGAAAATTATGAAAATGGTTTTAAAAATATTCAATTTTCACGATACAATTTAGGAAAACTTGTTTTTAGAGGTAAAAGTCCATATAAATGTTACACCCTGAATTTGATTCGTTTAGAATAAATGTAATAACATTTTTGGTACTACCTGAGTCAAATTTGTGTTCTGTTGAGTTGCGGAATGCTTGGTACTGAAGGTGGCTCACATGAAGATATGCAACGGTGACATTTGAATTTTCTTCTGTCAAATTCAATGTTTGTTGATGGGCACATTTGTAAGAATTTTCCAGAGGTGTTGAAAATTCCGTTTTCTGGTGGAACAACTTGTACACTTTGGGGACTGAAATAATCAAAAATTACTGAAATACCTACTGCTAAGTAGCCATTTCATATTTATCTTATTATTTTAAACTTTTTATATTTATGTGCCATTTTTATATACCTATTCCTTGAAGGAAATCTTTTAATACTCATTATTTTCAGCTGAAAATCCTATTAATTTTTTGGATGTTAATTTGTCAAAAGTTTTAAATACATATTTTGCATTCTTATATTTGAGATGCTCTATATCAAATTCTATAAGAATCCATTTTTAAATTTTAGATACAAATTAGAAAGTCTAACAGGTTTCTGGCAAGTGTAATTATGTATAAATTTGTAAATAGTTAAATTATTGATTAGTTTTCATTGCATGCAGACCATTATAAAAAAATTTGAAATGCATTAAAAACAGATATATTGTTATATTTAATAATCATCATCATTCAATAACATATGAAATCATTTCTGATAACACAAAAGTATAATAAAATAAATTGATATAATTAAATGAGCAATATGATATTTTATCAAACTTTTAGAACAAATGCGTTGAAACATTCAAAACAGATTCTGATTAGTCATGAAATTAGATATAAAATTTCTAGAATAAAGAGATGATAAGACACAAAACATTAAAAAATTGTATGTCTAAAATAATCATTAAACAAAAATAGAACAAATGAAATTCCATAACAAAATTTTCCAGTACCTATCTTTATATGATTATAGAATGTTGTACTTACCTGAATTTATTGAAACATTGAGAGTAGAAACGATGCGGTTCAGATCAAATTTATTTGAGTTGTTTTTTTCAAAATCTAATTCTAATGAATTGTTCTGACCCCACGAAACTGTCAGTGTCTGCACATCCTTTCCCTCACAGGAGCCGCTGGCAGTCGCATCAACAGGTACATTGACTTTTGTTTTGTTTGAATCCAGGATTTCGAACTGCGTGGCCACAAATAAGATAATGCAGCTTCGGTTGCTATTAGCATAATTCACCGTCCAGTTAGCTACTTTTGGATCCACTGGTCCAGGAGCAGGAGTTGGTGTTGGAGTTGGTGTTGTAGGCTTAGGTGTGGTTGATGTAGGTTTAGGTGTGGTTGATGTAGGCTTAGGTGTGGTTGATGTAGGCTTAGACGTTGTTGTTGTAGAGGGTGTTGTTGGTTGTGCTGTGGTAGTTGTTTTAGGGGTTGTCGCAGAGGTTGTAGATGTTGGAGGTGGAGTTGTGGATGTCGGTGTAGAGGTAGGTTGGGGAGGTATTAATGGACTTGTATGAAGTGGCTCTGGATCAAGTTTATCCCCTACAAAAAAAAAAAAATAATACAAACAAATATTAGGAAATGAATATTTAAAAGTTAGGTTTTCACAAATTTAAGGGTCACATTTCAAGGATAGCTTCCTTGGATGAAAATACAATGGTGAATAATTTAAATGTGAACCTAAATGTTAGAAATCATATAATCTCTTTTTGAATGATAGCCAGTCACACAAGCCGTATTTTTTAAATAATTTTTTTAAATATCAACACATGTAACTGACAAGTGAGTCAAATTCAATATAATCTCAAAACTTACTATATGTATGAAAAAACTAATTATACATTTTCAGTTCAATTTACAACAAAAATTTTGCTGTCCAATTAGCTAATTGGTATATTCATTTGTTTTCGAATTACAAAGTAATTCTTGTAATAATTTCAAAGTTATAACCCTTTCTAAACGAACTTTTCGGTACCGAATTGACTAATGATATTAATTTTTTAATCAAGTTCACGATCAGGAAATTATGAAACAAACATATATATATATATATATATATTCTGTGTAATATATCATAGGTATTTCAACAAATATAGTTGGTACCTAATAACTTACTTTAATTAGTTGCTGCTGTTATGTTTTTTTGTATGAAGTAATATTTCTTTCTTTTTAATTTCCTGATGGTCATATTTAGTTACTGTAAATTGCTTTGCCAAAAAAAAACATGTGTCTAATATTCTAAAAAAAGTAAATTGTTATGGCATTTTGGATGGCTTGTTAGAAAGAATATTATCTTTGTACTTTTTCTACCTTCAACATAAAAATTGATTTAGTTTTCTGCATTAATGTGACGCTAAGCAAGTAACACTGGAAATAAAAATTTCAGGTTTTTTTCTAAGGAAGCACAGACAACATAAGGAACTGATGATTCAGCTAAAGAATAATTTATGGTTCGCTAAAGAAAATTAAAAACTGGAGTCCAATCTGGAGTTTGTTTTATTCCGTTTTTAGAAAAGTTGATGATGATTGTATTTGCAACATTTTGCTAGAACCTTTTTCCTAGTACTTTTAAAAACGAATTATTCATTTTTGTGGCAATCACATTTGTAAATATGCAGGAATGGACGACATCTCAAGAGTAGCATCAAATAAGTCAATTTACATCTTTGTTGCCTTAAAAAGTTAGGGACCTTTTTTAAAACAAGTCACATTTTAACATTATTTCATAAAATTTGATATTGGAGGGTTTTGGGATTGCTGAAGATTTTTTTTATCTAAAATATAGAAGCCACTGCAACAGTCATTTGCCCTTTTTTTATATTTTTTTATTAGTAGAAGTTTTGAAAAATGCAGACAACCGATTTATTATTAACGTTTCATTATTAAACCTCACCCTGTTATTAAATTTGTAGCTTTGTAAAGCCTTTTCTTAAATTAAATCAACTTACCTCTATTCAAAAGTCAACACCTACTTAGATAAAAAGTATATAAATGACCAATATCATTCAGTAAATCATAACAAAAAGAAGTGTAATTAGAGTAAAATACTCTCTTTAATAATGACTCAGTTGTTTGTAACTGATGGCTGCAGCACAAGATTGAAAATGATTTTTTTCTGGAACAATGCATTTAGCAGCATGCAACGAATATACTTCTTTCAACAAACACCTGCATTTTGTCAAAATTTCCAAATATAAAAAAAAACAAGACAAAGACAAAGACTTAGCGACCCCTCCGTTTTAGATAAAAAAAAATAAACCTCTGTTCATCTTTGGCTACCCCAAAAAATTAAACCAAAATTCATTGAAATATCATAATTTAGTGACAGATTATCTTAAACAAAAGAATTAAATAATTTTCAAGGTTTATAATTTTTTAAGGAAGGGTGATCCAGGAAAATGCTAAAAATTACCTATATTCTTCACAAACGTACAAGTTTTTACTAAACTATAAACAAAAAATATTATTGCATAATTAACTAAGTAGGTAACCAATAAGTTAATATCAAAATAGAATAGGTACTTGGTTTGATAAGGGAAAATGTGTGACACAAAACATAAAATTTATATTAGATTATATTTTCAATAAAACTCAATTGGAAATGCATAGATTAAAATCATTGAGAAAAAGTCATATAGTAGGTACCCAGTCAATAGGTATTTTTTTGCTATTAATAAACTCAATAGTTGATTTTGTGTATGTAGTTCCCCCTTAAGTTATAAATTTACTTCCTTATCTGTGTTGCAAACAAAGAATATTGTACACATCTTGATAAAAACGTGCACCAGTATTTATTTATGGTGAATTCTCACTTTATCTTGTTAAGTAAATACCTAGGTATTATTATGAAGTAGGTATCAATATGTATTTCTCTATAAATATCAAGGGGAGAAAAAGTAAATGGCGATGCAATAATTCCTGGAATATCTACATTTACGTAATTTAGATCTGAATTCACTAGAATCCATCTTTTTTATTATTCTCGGCATGCGGTTAATAATATCCGCATCATATTTGGTTTTATAACTGGGCAAATTAGAATAATTGGATAATAAACGTTTCTGGATCGTTTCAGAAATGATTGTTCATACACATTATTTCATATTTTTGTAAGTACTTGTAACCTAAATACATACCTGAGCCACATACACCTGCTATCACCCCACAAACCAAAAGAAATACTTTAAAATTGGCCATATTTATTAGTAGAAGTAGAAAATATTGTGTCCTCAACAAAAGCACAATTCACCAACTGTCAAATATTTCTAGCTCCTTTTCCGCATAAAAAACGTTGCGTTACAAAACTGTACAACCCAAGGACACGGAACCAATCCAATGACTACACTATACACCTATCACGTACCACACAGACAAAGACGCAACGCAATGCGAAATACTAGACTGAATTTCACTTAACAATGGTGGCATTGGTGGCACAGTTATTGCGCATGTGCGCTTTATCGAAATTTTGTTTCCTTTCCGTTGTCCACATTGTATGATTTAAATTTTTGCGCGAATTAGGATACCTACATTTCTGCTTATTTCCATTTTCGTATCTGAGATAGAGATACCTATATGTATTTATCATAAAAAATTAAAGTTGTAAATTACTTAGCTTATTTTAATAAGAATTAAAAATAATTTTCATCTGTTATAAGCAAGAGAATATACAGGGTATCCAGGAAAATGATGGACAATCTATCGCATTTGGGTAAGATTTGCAAAAATAACGATGCAAGTTTATATAATTTTGTTTTATTCTGGCTGACCCTGTAGAGAGAATTATTTGGTCTTGAAGTTGAAAGTTGATGAAAATCGATTTTTCGTTATAACTTTTTTCATTAAACTTGGTCAATTTTTTGCTAAACGCTGTGCTATTTGAAGTACGCGTATAACGATAAATTTTATTTATTTTCAACATATATAAACCTGTGATACTTCTTTTGAAATGCTTAACCCGTATTCAAGAAATTGACCATCATTTGTTGGACACTCTGTAGGTATAGTTTCCTGCTTTTTTACATATAGAAATGAGTATATTTTCATTGTATCAATTTCACCATCGGAAACCATCCCAGTTTCCTTGTTCGATAGGACGTTTATTTTATCATACACACAATACTTTGTTGCACGAAGCGACAGATAATATGAAATGCACATACAAAGAAATAGCTGTTCTGTTTATTCATTTCCTTCACTTTTTATTAAAATAAGATTTTAACTTTGCGCTTGTATTAGGGTGATACGAAAACGTACGTTTGGAAAAATAATAAAAATCTTTCTAAAGGTACAGATGTTTTATAGAAAAATGTATTTTTTCAAAAATATCAATAACATTTGTTATACACTGAAAAGTTCTCAGTTACTTCTAATATCTTTGTCATCATTTAGGTAAAAATTGTGTTTATTTTTAAGTGTACATTTTTATCCCCTTTATAACACCTACTACAGGTGTCATTTACGAGACATCTTAATATCTTTTTCGTCCTTTGATTAAAATTTGAAAAAAAAATGTGCATTTATTGACTTCTTTAAAATAAGAGGATTTTTTGAATTTGCATGACTTGTGACGCCATCATGATATCACTTGAGAATAAAATCTAACGGAATAAGATCAGGATACCCTGCTGGTTATTAACTG